AGGGGGGGGTGACGGTTAAAGCGGCGCAGCACCGGTAGGTGGAGGAAGCAGCCATGGGAGGGTAACGAGGGGCGGAGCAGGTGGTGTCAGGGGCTGGCCAGGACACTGAGTCCATACACCGTGACTCCACACACCCCGGTGCGCCTACATTGGTTACCGGTATCACCCGCCCAGCCCCCTCCTCCGTCATCACTCGCCTGGTATCCTCCCCACCCCCTCCCTCACGTCTTCGCCCCCGCCCTGTGTGCTGACCGTCCAGACCTCGCACGTTCGGCTCGACTACCTCGGTTCCATTGACCAGGAGCTCGTCGGCTTGTTTGCCAGCCTCAATCAACACATTACCCCACCCTGTCCCCCCCTCCCGCCCCTCCCCACCTGCACCACCGCTGTGAGCGACCCGGTGTCCTGCGGGCCGCTCCGAGGCAGCCCCAACACGTCCGTCACCATGATGGGCCGCACCTCCACCTGGGGGGGAGGAGGGGGCAGCGGGGGAGAGAGCCGGGGGAGGTGAGGGAAGGCAGGGGGGGGGAACACGCAACGACCGTCAGTAACGGGGGGAGGGCAAGCGGCCCTCGATTGGACTGTCGGATTCAAGCTGCATGCCAGCCGGCCCCTCATGCCCACCCGACACCCACGCCATACACCCTTGCCATCTCCTTAACAGGGCGCCATTCCCTCGTGCGCTTGATGCATGTGTACCGTACCATCAGCCCCACCCGCATCCCCCAAGCGCGCCGGGCCTCTGCCATCCCCCACCCCTCATCCTGGCCCCGACCCACATCCAGCGCCCCACTACCCTTCCTGTACCCCTCTGGCCCCAACCCGTTGATGACCCAGCCCGCCTCCAACACACGCCCCCACCCCCTTTCCTCCCCTCCACTCACATACACCGAGTCCGCCTCCATGCGCTGGAAGACCACGTTGAGCATCTGCGTGAGGGTTGCCTTGGCGGTCTGCTGGTTCACCTCGGAGCGGCTCATCAGGAAGATGTTGTAGCAGGTGCGCACGGCCAGCAGCAGCGCCTGAGCATGGTGGGAGAGGGGGACGGTGGGGGGAAAGAGGGGGGAGCAGGGTGGGGATGAGGGTGAGCGCGGGTTGCAGGGCACGGCTTCCAGAGCATGAAGGACGTCAAGGAGGAGGCAGCCCATGAACTCCATGCGCAAGCTATCGTGTCACCGGCTGCTTCACCGTCCCAGAGCTCACGCGTTTAGGAATCGACCGCATCTCTAGCGTTCCCGCTAAGGCCCCTATGCCGCCCGTGGTGCCTGCCATGCCAAGTTCCATTGGGGCCCCCCATAGGCCTCAAGCCCACCCACCCACACCACACCCAGGCAACCCCCCCACCTGTCCATGCACGGTGAAGGTGGTGCTGGTGGTGGCGGTGAGCAGGTTCTTCAGGATCTGCAGCTCCACTTTGTCGTCCGGGATCTCGTCGCATTTGCAGATCAGTTCGACGGCCTGGGCCTGTACGGCAGGCAGGGATCGCGGTGAGCATGGGGGCGAGAGGGGGACGGGGCGAGGGAATAGGCAGAGCAGAGCAGGGCCGATTACGGCGGTTGCTGAGCCCTCAAAGATCCAATCGACCTAATCCCAACACCCCCATGTCGTACAACTGAAGCAGGGAAGAAGACCCAAGATCCTGGCTTAAGGAACCATGTTTACCTGCGGCCTGCGCGCTCCCACATCAGCTGCAAGGCTGGCATCGCTGGCGCCACCAGCTGAGGCACCTGGAGGGGTCGGGGCGGGGCAAGCACCACCAGCATGCAACGTTAGGGACAGCAACGGGAAATCCGAGTGCGTTGTCCCCAGGGGATACGCGACAGCGCGCGCGGCATCAGGGCCAGGGAAGTGACGTGCGTTACGAGTGCTAAAGAAGAGCGCTGGCAGGACGCCAGCGCAGCGCCCTGTTGTAACCGGGGTGTGCAGCCCCTGCCCAGCACGCGGCCCCACCTGCGTCCTCGGCCTCCTTGCCCTGACCGCCACCCCGCTCCACATTGACAGCGTAGACGGCGCCCTGGCGGAAGAGGGGGGAGAGGGGGGCAGCGGTGGCGGACACATGCGGAAGTTGCTTCATGGCCCTCAGCCCCTGACCCAGGCCAGCCCGCAGCACCCACCAACCCACATTCGCAGCCCATGTACACGCTTATGCACCGCTTCCAAAACATGATGCCTCCCCCACCGAAAGCACACCCTGAGGCCGCACCCTTACACACCCAGCCCCCAGTTTTTTTCCGACACCATCAGCATCACCGACATGCGTCGTCACTCGTCACCTGCCACTCTTCTTACATCCAGCAACAGCCATTTAAGCAATTGAGTTCTGGAACAGGTTCGGTCACCTCTGTTTTGTCTGTTTTGCCTGTACTCGCGGTTCACATGCGAACCTATCCCAACTGCTTGCTCTTGTCCTACTCAACTACACACCCAGCCCCCATGCGCACCGCACCACCCCCCACCCCACCTTTTTCCGCCCCCACCCTGCCTCCCCTTCTCCCCCACTTCCCCCACCTGCAAGAAGCGGAACGCCACCAGCTTCTGTATGCAGTCCAGCGCCACCTCGATCACCTCGGGCCGCATCGTCTCCACCGCCAGCCGGAAGATCCCGATCACGCGGTCGCACACCGGGTCCGGCAGTGCGCTCTCGGTGCGGGGCACCAGCTCAGGCAGCGGGGGCTCGGCTGCAGCAGCCCGCGAGGCTGCTGTGGCCGCTTGACTGGGCGTGGGCTTTGCAGCGGCCTCGGTTGTGGCTGCGGAGCTCTGCTCCGGCTGCCGCTGGGCTGCAGCATCTGGGTCGGCGGGTCCGGATTGGGGCTCTAGCTGGGCTGCAGATGCAGGTTCAGCCTCGGGGGTCCCTGAGGATTCCTGCTCGGCTGGTGCTGCGGTGAGGGCCTCCGGGGTTGCAGCTTCTGCAGCCGCGTTGCCGCCGTCAGCAGGGACTGGGGGCGCATCCGGTTGGGGAGAAGGCCGAGGTGCCTCCGCTGGAGCTGTAGGAGCGGGCTGTTGGCGCCCGTCTGAGGGCAATTTCGCTGCTGCCTGCCCCGTCAGGTCGGTTGTAGAGCCTGCGCCAGCGCGCCCGTACACCAGCAGCCGCGTACCACCAGCTGTGCCGGCCGCCGGTATAATTAGATGCAACTCATCGAGGAAGAGTCGGCATTCCTCATGCAGCTTGCCATACTTGCGGGAGTTTGCAAATTTGCATATTTTACGAAGCGCTATTGCCACTATCTCCGCAGCCGGATGGTACACAGGCTCCGAGGACATGGCAGCGTTACCACAGCGGGCGCAAGCTTTGCTAGCTTAGACACCCGCCCAAGCACCTGCAGATGTGCGCCAAGAAGACAATCCGTCAAGTCAAAGGTATATTACCTTAGCATAAAGATGTGGTGGAGTAAATTGGGCAGCATAAAGGCCAGAGAGTCTCCTGTACGCACCTCGGGCAACTATGGTCCTACCACTACGAGGCGCCCCCGGCCCAAGCGGTCCTGCCACCCTTCCAGCAAGCTTTCCCTACCAGCATAGTTTTATTTGTAATTCCATGGGACGCCCTTAGGCCATCTAAAGCTAAGTCTTGCTATAGCGTATAGGATCTTGCCAGGGACAGAAGTCAACGCAGGATATGTACAGCGACAACAAGTTTAACTGGTACTTTCTTTACTTCACAATATCCCCTTGTTGTTCGAGGGTTGGTAGGGCGGTTGGCCCACAATTTCCGTTTGCCGCACATCGCACGACCCATTGTCTCCTCTATCTGCGCTTAATCCTACCTTCTAACCCAGTGTCCATACGCAAACATTATAAAACCTCTATTATTAGAATTATTAGCCAACTGTGAGCACAGGATGACTGCTCGCAGCTTCCGGTCTGTGTACCTGAGTGTGTGCCCATTATATAGTAACGCTTGAAGGTAACCGCTGTGGTCGTTTTCCCTGTGCTTACAAAATAGGCAGCGCACTCAGGCAAATAGCCAAACAAACCGTCAAGACCAATGGGTCAGGTTAGGTCAGTCCCATCGTCTTCCAGGAGCCCGGTATCAGATTCGGTGAGGCTCTAGGGCTTTCCCGTCTTACCTATGCTGCCAGCTCGAATCGCCGGCCCGTTGTTTTGCGGTTCAGCGGGCACCGTGGGGTTGCCGCACTTACATAGGGCCGTACACACCGTACACAAGTTGTTAATGACAGACCGCTCATCTGGGTCGGCTAATGCGGCAAAGCGCTGCCACTTTAGCCACTCGAGCTCATTAAGCAACGCTATAGCACAGGCAACCCCATGCGGGGCTGTGGGGGTACATGTGGGGTGCCTGGGCAGGCTCGACGTCAAACGCCTAGGCAGCCCATGCCCGTGCTTGTCACGTGGTCAACGAGCAACGCGCCCTCATACAGCCCAGTACGCAGCATTCCGTGCGGCGGTGCACTTGTTGCCTCAGCACATGTGGAGAAGCTGCGCTTGCCGGACGGGCTACGTCGCCGCAGCAGCGTCTGTTCCTGCAGTGCCGAACTCCGACCCATTGGGAAATTGCTTAACAAGCTTGGTGAGGCATGGCTATCCTGCATTCCCGCTGTCCCTAGTCGGGTTACCTGGGGCGCTATTGTCGTGTGCCTCCGCGTTCTACACACCACATGTCCACCTAGCCCCCACGACGACGTAGCATCACGTCCCCACCGGGAGTCCGTGCCAAGGCCAGCGCGCTGCCAAGCGTCAAGGAACCAACGTTAAGAGTAACTAAGCGGTATAGGAATCCCGTGCACAGGTGGCCCCCGCGCACGCTCATGTGGTGGCCCCGCATCCAAGACATCGGCATGCGAAAAGCGTAAGCGTGGGCCTAACCAACAGCAGCAAGCGGCGACTTGTTTGCGACCAAGCGGGTCGTTCAAAACATCGAGCATGTGCCCATCTGCCCCATCTGTCGTTGGCTCGTTGCAACATGTTGGTTGCCTCAAGTACGACAATTCCCTGTTGCTTGCCCTCATCAGACGATAGCACGCTGTATTTTGTTTGCGTGATGGTGGTCTGCGTCGATCAGTAGGCCGCTTTCCTTAATACCGGCCCTTTTCCACCGCGGTGTTTACACTAATTGCTTAAGTTATTACAGCGAGGCACTATCACCGTTCGGTAGAAGGACAAAGTTTGTGAAGTACATTGCTTATTAAGTATTTCGGATAAGGACTTGGTTAAGTAAAAGGGGCTTGCACATCGGCGTGGCGCCGTCGTCCGCGTTGGGTCAGGAAAATGGGTACCAACAAGGCCACCAAGAAGATGGCCCGCAAGGGTCAACTGAAAAATGCCATCCAAAAGCGGCGGAAGTATAAGCGCACCACAGGGCGCCGCCAGCCGCACAAGGGCAGCAAGGCGGCCGGCATCGTAAAGGCTGGAGGTGAGTACTGCTACATTAGCATTAGGTGTGGCGGTCCAGTAGGCGTGCGAAGACGCGGCGGCTCCAACTAAGCGGTTGGGCCCCAACATCCATGCCTCTAGTTGGGAGCGGCGTGGAAGGAATTTTCACTAGTTAGATCTCATTAGGCAGCAGGGTTGTCGGACGCTTCGCGGTGGCGAACTACCAGGAGGGCGAGGATCCCTTAGGTCGTCAGCTGGGGTAAACCTTACGAACTGCTCTAAGCGGGTTTCGGCGCCTTAACATGACCCTTTAACCTCATCTCCCGCCGCTTCCTAGCCCTGCCAGAGCCTTGTAAGCTGCTGTCATCCATCTTCCCTGCCTCCCTCCCTCACTCCACCAAACACGGCCTCGGCCCGCTTCTCCCTCACTGCACTTTGCACCCCCCCTCCCGCACCCCCCCCCCATGGTTTGGTATGGTCTTTGACCCCCCCACACACATCTCTCAAGCCTTCACCATGCTCCGAACCCACCTCCACAACCACCCCTCCCGCTCCTCCAAACTGCCCCCGCCCCCTCACCTCCCCGCCCCCTCAGACGAGTTCCGCAAGGATGGCAAGCGCAAGGGCGGCGCGTTCGACGACATGGACGCGGAGGAGTTCCTCAAGGTGGGCGCTGTACGGCAGCTCTCACCGCGGGGCTGTATGGCAGCTCACACTGCGGGGCTGTACGGCAGCTCCTCTGGGCTGTAATTTGTACAGCCGCAGCAGCCATGGGATGGGGAGCCCTATTCTTTGGGCGCTGGGTGCTTGCAGCTGGGGTGCCCGGAGTGGGTGTGCAGGAGGAGGCACATGGGGCGGTTGAAGGGAGATGTTGGGGCACGTGTTGGGGCGCGGGGGTGCAGCAGGAGTGCTGCCACCTAGCAGGATAGCCCCTCCCTCCCTCCCCAGCACACGCCTCTGGCTGTGTGTTCGTGTCCTGTGCACACCACACCGCGCACACACGACTCCCTGGGCAGGGGTGCTCTTAGCAGCATAGTTGGGGTGGTTGGGAGTTGAACCCTCGTGACCCCCCCTCCCTCCCCTCGCAGGGCGGCTTTGAGGAGGACATTGAGGACGACGATGAGGTTGACAGCCTGGATGGGGACGAGGGCAGCCTGGAGGGCAGCGGCGAGGGCGACAGCAGTGAGGACTTGGAGCTAAGCGACGAGGAGGGTGAGGAGGAGGGCGGCAGCGGCAGCGGCGAGGGTGAGGAGGAGGAGGAGGATGCGTCTGAGGGAGCCGAGGAGGAGGAGGATGAAGAGGAGGAGGAGGGCGGCTCGGCGGACCCGGTGGTGCAGGACAATAAGCGGCTGAAGGGGGAGGTCGCCAAGCACAGGTGCGGTTGGGGGTGGGGAAGGGAGAGCGGGGAGAGAGACCAGGCTGGGCAGGATAGAGAGAGGGAGGGTGCGGTAGGTGCAGTGATCAGCGCGCACCTCCCCAACTAGTGTGTACTCGCACCCCAGACCCCACCCCACCATGCCACCTGTAACCCCCCGCCCCCCCTCCTCCTCCGCCCCCCCCCCGCATGCCGCTGCTGCAGGGCCCAGCTGGAGGCCCTGCGGGAGAAGGACCCCGAGTTCTACCAGTACCTCAAGGTGGGGGAGGGGGGGCTTGGGGGGGTTGTTGGGGGTTTGGCGGTTGTGCTCGGGGTTTGGCGGTTGTGCTCGGGGTTTGGCGGTTGTGCTCGGGGTTTGGCGGTTGTGCTCGGGGTTTGGCGGTTGTGCTCGGGGATGCTCCGGTGTGTTGGTTGGTTGTTTAGTAGGGCCAGCACCCGTCAACCATGGCGGGCAGCTGGGCTGGCGGGGCTTCCCGTGCCACTTGTGACATGTCCCTTGTTTCTGTGGCCGTTTCATGCCGTTTTGCTTCCCTCCTAGCCAGTAGCCAGCACCTCTTGTCATCCTGCTGTCCCCCCCTCGTGCCCCACAGGATGCGGACGCGGAGCTGCTGGGTTTCGGCGCGGGAGAGGATGAGGATGATGATGACGAGGATGCAGATGAGGATGATGAGGATGAGGACGAGGAGGAGGGGGCTGCTGGCAAGAAGGCGGCAAAGGATGCCAAGAAGAAGAAGGATAAGAAGCAGCAAGCATCCTCTGAGGACGAGGAGGAGGAGGATGGGGGCGCGCCGGGCAGCGAGGAGGGGGATGTGGAGGAGGGTGGCCGCGGTCGCATTGACGTGACCAGCGCGCTGCTGGCCCGCTGGTGTGCTGCGGCCCGGGGGCAGCCGGGTCCGGGGGGCAAGCCGCCTGCGCTGGGTTCGTTTGGTTTCCTGGTGCGGGCGTACCGGCTGGCGTGCCACTACGGGGATGCGCAGGGTGGGTGGGGGCAGGAGGGGGGGGGGGAGGAGGGGGGGGGCGGGAGGGGGGGGGGGGCGGGGGGAGGGGGAGGAGGGGAGGGGGAGGAGGGGAGGGGGAGGAGGGGAGGGGGAGGAGGGGAGGGGGAGGGTGGTAAGAAAACTGGCCGCGAGTAGGAACGTTCTGGATTGTCGGGCGGGCGGGTCGGGCGGGTAACGAGGAAGAAAGTAGCCGTGTGGGGGCAGGTGGGTGGGTGGGAGGGTGCATGGGGAGGTTACTCTGCATGGGGAGCAGCAGTTGGGCTGGGCTGGGGTGCGGTATGCGGATCGGCGTTGCACAGGTAGCGCTGCACATACCTTGCACCTTGTACCTCCATTCCCGTCTCCGCCTCCTTTTCACCTCCCTCCCTTCCTGCCTCCTCACCCTCCCGCTGCTGCTTCCGCAGAGGACGATGACGCGGGCCGGCTGCGCATCACCTCCTCCTCCGTCTACAACGCCACCATGCTGTTCATGCTGCGCGAGGCGGACGGCATCCTGCGGCGGCTGCTGGGGCTGCCGGAGGAGGGGGCGGCGGCGGGCGGCAGGGCGGAGGCCGATCTCACCAAGAACAGCAGGTGAGGGGTGGGGGGTTGGAGGAGGGCGGGCGGGAGGAGGGTGCTCTATGAGGGGGGGGCAGAAAGTGGGTGACGAGGAGGTGGGGATCCCTGCTCGGTGTTGTCCATCTTTCTAAACCCACTGCCAATGTGGCCCCTCACCGCTTTCCCCATCCCCACCTCCCCCCCTGTGTGCCTCATTATCTTTTACCCCCCTGTGTGCATGCAGGTGGCGCAAGGTGGGTCCGCTGGTCAAGTCGTTCTGGGGCAACTCCATACACCTGCTGGGCAGCATCACCGACCCGCCGCTGCTGGCGTTCACACTGCGCAGGCTGAGGTGGGGCGGGCTGGGGGAGGCGGGAGTGGGGAGGGGAGTGGGGAGCATGGCGGGCTGCGGGTTTCAGGGGAGGTCGGGCGGTTGAGGGGACGTGTGCCTGGGGCTTGTGAGCGGGAGGGTGGAGGCAGGGGCACACATGGGTTCCATGCAAGGAAAGCAGAACCTGACATCGCTCCCCCTCCTCCCTCCTCCCTCCTCCCCCCCCCAGGTCCAGCGTGTCCCTGCTGGCCCCCTTCCCCCGCCTGCGTGACAAGTTCCTGCGCGCGGCTCTGGGCATCTTCGGCTCCGGCGAGGTGGCCCCCCGCCTGCAGGCCTTCCTGGCCATCCGCGCCCTGGCCGTCAGCCTGCCGCAGCCCGCGCTGGACAGCTGCCTGAAGGGCGCTTACCGCATCTTCGTGGCCAACTCCAAGTTCGTGTCGGCGGCATCCGCGCCGCACATCGCCTTCATGTCCACCTGCCTGGTGGAGCTGTGGGGGCTGGACATGGCGGTGAGGGGAGGGGGGCAGCACGGACGCGGGGGGGGGGGGGAAATACATGAAGAGTGAGGGCAGGGAGAGGGGGCGAGGAGGGGGCGGGGATATAGAATACAAACTGCTTGTTTCCCTGCATGTTCCCCTGCGCATTCACCTCGCTGTGTCCACTGCTGCTCCCAACAGGGTCCCAACCACACGTTGCGCTATCCCCCTAGCATCCGTGGTCACACTACCAGCAAGTCGCCTTCCTGTCGCCATCTCCCTCACATGTGCACCCCACCTCCCACCCTTCCCCCCACCTCCCCCCCCACCTCCCCAACCCCCCCCCCAGGCCTCCTACCAGCACGCCTTCACCGCCGTCCGCCAGCTGGCTCAGCTCATGCGCACCGCGCTCACCTCCAAGACCGCGGACGCCTACAAGGCCGTCTACTGCTGGCAGACCGTCAACTGCCTGGAGCTGTGGGCGCGGGTGCTGGGCGCGCATGCGGAGCGCCCCGAGCTGCGGCCGCTGGTGTACCCGGTGGCTCAGCTGCTGCTGGGGGCGGCGCGGCTGGTGCCCACGCCGAGGTACTTCCCGCTGAGGATCCGGCTGGCGCGGGCGCTGAACAGGTATGGGGAGGAGGGGAGGGGGGCGGGGGAAGGGGTGCTACAGCTGCTGACAGTGATAGCTTCTGCTTGCTTGCCGGAACGACCGTGTAGGGCTGCTGCATCCCTGTCCTTGTCCAGGAGGGCCGTCTGGTGGTGCCTTACCCCCATGACCCTTCCCTCCCCCCCTGACCCTTCCTGTCCCTCCTCCGTGCCTCCTCCCTGCCCCCCGCCCCCTGCTCAGGCTGTCCTCCCAGGCGGGTGTGTTCGTGCCGGTGGGCCCTCTGGCGCTGGAGGCACTGGGCTGGGCGGACCTGCGCCGGCCCCCGGGCGGGGGAGGTGGCAAGGGCCGGGGCGGCGCCTCCTCATCCGCGGTGTCTGGCGGCTGCCCCGACCTGACGCTGCAGCTGCGGCTGGGCAAGTCACTGCTGCGGTCGCCCGCGTGCCAGGAGGAGGTGGTTACGCAGGTGCGTGTGGGGGTGGGGGGCTTGGGCGGTTGAGGGGAGTTTGGTTGTTAGTTGCTTGGGCGGCTGGCACGCGCGGCAGACCGTGTTTTGTCCTGACCGGCTTGCATGCCCTTCTCTCTCGTACTCCCTGCCTCCTTCACCCGCCTCCTCCCTCTGCCCTCCCCGCTTCACTTTTCACTTATGTTTTCCCCCTCCTCCACCCCCACCCTCCTCCTCCCATCCTCCTCCCTCCCTCCCCTCCCCCGCCCCCCCAGGTCCTGGAGGTGCTGACCGAGCACCTAGCCGCCTGGTCCACCAGCATCGCCTTCCCCGAGCTGGCGCACGTGCCGCTGCTGCAGCTGCGCAAGTTCGTCAAGGGATGTCCGGTGGACCGCTTCCGGCGGGCGGCGAGGCAGCTGGCGGAGGCGGTGCAGCGCAACGTGGCATGGGTGGGCAGCCGGAGGGATAGGGCGGAGTTCGGGCCCAAGGACACGGCCAAGGTGCAGGTGAGGAGGTGGTGGAGGTGGGGATGGAGGGGGGGAAGGGGAGGGGGGTAGGGAGGAGGAGAAGAGCCTAAGTCGCCCCACATGTGGTACTAAGTTAAGTCTGTCATGTTCCCAGTTTCGCCCATCCCATCCCATGATTGAGTCCACCCCATGATGCCATCGTCCCATGACCCCATCCCATGCTCCCCTCTCCCCCCCCCAGGCCTTCCTGCAGGAAGAGCGCGAGGCGGGTCGTGCGCCGCTGCAGCAGTTCGCGGCGGCCATGGCGCAACGGGCGGCGCAGCGGGCAGCGGCACGGCGCACGGATGAGGTGGAGCTGGGCGGGGGGGCGGGCAAGCGAGCTGCTGCCAAACGCGGTAGGGAGGACGAGGACGAGGAGGAGGTTTCGGAGGAGGAGGGGGTGGAGGAGGGAAGCAGCGAGTTGGAGGAGGAGGAGGAGGAGGCGACCAAGGGGCGGAAGGGCAAGGGCAAGGGTGCGGATGGGGAGGAGAAGGAGGGCAAGGGGGCGAAGAGGCAGCGAGCTGGCATGGAGGTGGAGATGGATGGGGATGGCGGAGTGGATTTGTTGGAGGATTATGTGTTGAGTAGCGACGATGAGGAGGATGACGTCATTGAGGGTGGGAGCGAGGGAGAGGAGGAGGATGGGGAGGGGGGCGAGAGCGAGGAGGAGGAGGAAGGGGACAGCGAGGAGGAAGGGGAGGAGGAGAGCGAGGAAGATGGAAGCGGGCCGGGGATGAGTGAGGAGGAGGACGAGGAGGAGGAGGGGCGGCGAGGTGGCGGCGGCCCTGGAGGCAGGGGACGGGGTGGGCGAGGTGGGGCAGGCAGGGGGGGTCGGGGCAGCGGTCGTGGAAGGGGCTTCGCTGGCGGCCGGGGGGCGTCAGGGGATCGGGAGGGGAGGGGCGGTCGTGGGGGCGGCCGGGGGGAGGGGGGCCGGAGCGGGCGCGGCCGGGGCGGGGGCCGGGGGCGAGGTGGCAACCGGGGTGGGCGTGGAGGCCGCGGGGGCCGGAGGTGAGGGTGCTGGCCAGGACTGTAGACGGAAACGTTAGTGGAGGGGAGGGGACGTGTGGGGGGTGCTCTAAGGGCGCTTAGGCTGCGCGAGGGATATGTTGGTGGGTTTAGGTGTTTCTGATGGCTCTTGCAAGGGGCCAGATTGGAGGGTGGCGGGGCCTCTGTAGCAATCACACGTTGGGTCGTGACGTCTCAAGGGTCAGCTTGGGACTGTGAGCAGGGTGGGTGAGGGATTGAGGTGGAGACTCGGCAGCAGGGCACGTATGACGTTGCCTGCATGCATGCGTGAGGTTGGTTACCGGTGGGGGGGGAGGTGGGACACAGACTTGCGTATGGATGCTTTCAGGTTTGGTAGCGAAGTTCAGGATGACAAGCTTCCATGCCCTTCCTTCGCCCCTCGGTAGCGGTTCTGTAAAAGTGTACCAGGCGTTGCATGGACAGCCACGTCGTGCTGCCTCAGGCCTAAGTCAGCAAAGGAAGCGGGGCCCTGTGCATGTGGAACAGCCCCACCGGTGCGGTCGTCGTACCAGCTGGCGGGCCACTGGATGTCCATTTCACTTGCATGTGGCATGCAGCCCACAGTAGGTCAGCATTGGTATATATACATACAACGTCTCTGCCTCCTCCTCCACATCAGTCAGCCGTCATGAGCAGTCTCCATGCCCCAGCCAGTCCTCCGGGGCAGTCGGGGAGCGGACCCCTTTTCTGGGGGCCACGCGTGACCCATGGGTCATCACACCAGGTGTCCATCCCCGTGGCCCACCTCAGCAGCTGCCCGCCTGCACGACCCGCGGCATCCATCCCCACCTCACACAGCCGCCAGCCACACAGCCTCCGGCGTGTACAACGCCGAAGGGACAGAAAGGAGGCAGCACGCCACCTAAAGGGAACTAAACATGAGAACCCCAGCTGCCAATCGCCACCAACTAACACCCCCGAGCGCTCCATGCCTCGCACTTTTCGAAAACCCCATGCATGGGGCCTCCGCCCACATGTACGAACGAACGTACGGCGACTCCTGTTGCATGCATGCACATCACTGCCCCATAAAGACCCGCGCATCGCATCGCCCGCACACAGCCCACCTCATCCTGCCTGCTACTTTCCTGCATCCGGATGCAACGCCTCCCCTGACCCTCGCTTGCGGTATCGTACATACCCCCACACGCCGCAGTGGTAGCCCCTCCAGCCTAGCCCCCAGCCAGCCCTCCAACCGCCGGCAGGAACCGTCCTAGAGGGAAGAGGACCCGTTTGTCTAGCGCCAGCAGCCACTCCAGCCGCCTCCGCCCGATGCCGCACTCGCTGGGCTCCCAGGCGCTGTCCCACGCGCGCTGGACGGCCTGTGGGCGGGTGGGTGGGTGGGGGGAAGCAAGGTGCGGTCGGTGTTAAGGAGAAGGGAAAAAGCGCCGTAGGGACCGGTTGGTCCTTGGCAAGGGGGACACCAGGCCCATGTAGTCCAGGAAGGAAGGGTCGGTAAGCGCGCATTGCGTGCTGCGAGGCCAATACGGGTAATGAAGCAAATGCGGTTTGCATGCTGCAATACCTGTACCCTAGTACTGGTATCCACCCCCCAACACCTACCCGTGTTCACGTCATGCTGTGACCTGCCTCCACCCGCGACCCCACACACCGCAGCAGGACCGCAGGCCCAAGCGCCTGCTGACTCGCGGGCACACTCACCCACCTGCTGCACGGCGTCCAGCATGTTGGACCTTGCAAACCGCAGCACCTGCAGCGGTGCAGCCGCCGCCTCCAGCCCCTCTGCTGCTGCCCCAGCAGACCCCGCCTCATCCGCTAGCGCCTTCACAGCTGCATCCACCGCCTCCGCCGCCGCCCTGCCGTCGCACTTGATCACCACTGCCTGCACAGCCGGCAGCGGCTGGTAGTGCACCACGCAGCGTGTGCTGCCGCCACCGGCCGCCCGCTCATCCAGCCTTATCATCCACTGCTGGAGCAATGCTTCCCCCTCCCCCTCCTGCTGCCCCTCCTCGCCCTGGCTAAGCATGGTAGCCAGGAGCGGGCCGCTCACACACAGCTCACGAGCTCCTGCCGAGCCACCCCTGCCAGCAGACCCGCCCACCTCCTCCTCAGCCGCTGCTGCCGCTGCCGCCTCCGCCGCCAAATACCCCATCGCACTCAGCAGCAGCTCTCCTTCTGATGGCAGCTGCTGCCAGCCACCCGCCGCCGCCGGTCCCAGCTGCTGCCCCTCGCCGCCCGCCGGTGCAGGGCCGGAAGGCGCCACTACCGCCACCCTTATCGTGAGGCCGTAATTCCGGAACATCAATTTCTGCGGCAGGCCCACCAGCTCCTCAGCCTGCAGCGCTGCAGCCACAGAGGCATCGTCGCACATCCAGGCCTGCACCTCCGTAGCAGCGAAGAGCTCCCACAGCAGCGAGCGGGTACGGGACAGCTGCTGTTCGGACAGCGGCTCCGGCTGCATGAACAATTCTTCCATAGCCAGACGTGGCTTCTGCTGCTGCTGCAGGAGGTGACGCGGGATGCTGTGCAGGAGCCAGTACTCGGACAGCGGCGCCAAGTCGCAGCCAGACAGCTGCACCAGCCGCACGTGACCAGCATCCATGTGGAACTCCACGGATTGGTCAAAATCGTGCGGCGGAAAGTCGAAGTCCTCCAGCTCCAGGCGCTGCAGGGAGGGCGGCAAGCTGACCAGCAGCAGGCGCAGCGGCTCGCAGATATGGACCCCCTCCTCCCCCTCCCCCTCCTCCAGATAATCATCAGGAATCATGTCGCACCGCTCAAAGTGCAGCACCTGCAGATGCTGCAGCTTGGCCAACTCGGCAATCACAGGAGCTGTCATATAGTCCGCTGCAGCGATCACGTCCAATCTCCTCAGGCTGCTGCATGCCGCCAGGGCCCCCACGCCCTGCATCCTGCCCAGCACCAGCCGTTCCAGGTTCTGCAAACTTGTCAGGGCGCTGTACATCAGCAGCTGTTTTGACGGTTGGGGATCAACCATGAGCGGCCACGCGCCGGAGAGGTCGACCTCCTCCAGAGCGGGCAGCCACAGCGGCAGCTGCGCAACAACCAACTGGATGTCCACGCGGCGCTCAGTCCTCCAGATAAGCTTCACACGCTTGACACGCTGCCTGTCTGACAGATCCGAGCACGCAAACTGCAGCCCTGTGAGCTCTGCAATGTCTCCAGGGCTGACATCCTCCGCGCCCAGAAGGCCCAGTTCAAGCCGGATCTCCTCGCAGCCTGGCCAGCGCTTAAGCGACGGCATCAAGCCCCGGGCCGTTAATTGCCGGTGCTCATGGCGCACGACTAGCGTTAGTTCGCGCACACCAGGGTCCACTACTTCGCGCAGCGCGCGGAGCGCCAGGCGTATGTTTCCTATGCTACCCTCGCTCTTCAAAATATCGACAAAGGCTTCAAGCGCAGACATGCTTAGGTTGTGAAGAACATCCGGCAACTGCCTAATGTTCTTCATTTCGCGTTGTTCAGCAAAAAGCGGGCTGGAAATTAAGCCTGTAAGGACAGTCTCTAAGACTATTTTATTGCTAAGGACTCCTGGCTTTACTCGGCTCCGACATGGGATCCAATTTTACAATTACGACAGTCACGAGTCACCAGCGTTTTTATGCGGAGCCCCCGCCGCGAAGCCCTAGGGCTCGTTAAGGGCCATTGCCAGAGCTGTTAGCCTTGGTTAGCTGGGGTATCATACAAAGCCATGCGACAAATACGCCCGGTTTCCCGTACAGTATTGTATGCGATACACATGCGCCCAGTGTAACAGCACATAGCGCCCTCAAAACAGGACGGTTTTGGACACTGAGGCAGCTCGTGATCCAGCCACCCCATGTCGCAGGAGGATACGTCATTTGGTGTCGGCAGGCCACAAGGATGGCCCCTATTAAAGCACCAAACGTTCGCGCGCAGCTTGCATATGCAATGATGCGTTGCTGAGGCCGCGCTCTGCAGGAGCGTGCAGTGACCCATGGGTCATGCCTTGGCAATTGCTTCGGAAGGACCCAGAATGACACTAGTAAGGCCCGCCTTCGGCGGGAACTGCCCGTAGCTCGCGGGAGGGAGGTGATGTCGAGGAGATGCGGTTGCACGCATGCATGTAGGGCGTGAGGATGCAGAAGGATGCTTAAAGCACAAAAGGAATGACAGCGATTGTCGCCAAGGCTGCTACGGGTCCCTGCTGCAGAGCCCAGCTGGAGGCCCTGCGGGAGAAGGACCCCGAGTTCTACCAGTACCTCAAGGTGGGGGAGTGGGGGGCTTGGGGGTGCTGGGGGGGCTTGGGGGTGTTGCTGGGGGGTCCCGGTATGTTGGATGGCGGTCGAGTTAGAGCCAACCAGGCAACCCTGGCGGGCAGGTGGCGGCGGTTCCGGGGCGCGGCCGGGGTGGGGGCCGGGGGCGAGGAGGCAACCGGGGTGGGCGTGGAGGCCGCGGGGGCCGGAGGTGAGGGTGCTGGCCAGGACTGTAGACGGTAACGTTAGTGGAGGGGAGGGGACGTGTGGGGGGCGCTTAGGCTGCTCAGCTGCGCGAGGGATGTGTTGGTGGGTTTTAGGTGTTTCTGATGGCTTTTGCAAGGGGCCAGATTGGAGGGTAGTGGGGCCTCTCTAGCAATCACACGTTGGGGCGTGACGTCGCAAGGGTCAGCTTGGGATTGTGAGCAGGGTGGGTGAGGGATTGAGGTGGAGACTGGGCAGCAGGGTACGTAGGACGTTGGCTGCTTGCATGCGTGAGGTTGGTTACCGGTGGGGGGGG